GACCAACCCACAAAGCAGGCCTTCCTTTTGCTTCGTAACCAAAGATGTAAGCTCTGTATCTGAAGTCTGCGCCTTCTCTCCCACCTCACACGCTAATGTGCTTCTTTATGGATCATGCGTCCAGTGCAGCGTCTGTGTGGGAGCAGCTGTAAGGACTTGTGATTCATGGGGTGAGCTCTGCATTGGCCCTGCCTGAGACCCGCTTACTAACAATTCCTTCAGAGAGACCGTCAGAATGTCCGCTGTTGATGATTTACTTCTGAAACCATGCAAATTATCGGGTATTTACAAGGAATGCTGCCTAATTTAAAGCCACTTGATGGTTCTTAAACAGCTTAGTAAAAACCAGGATGTGCAGATCAGCGCTCCGGAGTAGCCCAAGCAGTTGGGACAAGGTCTGTTTTGGAGAAGCCCATGGGCCGGGGCAGTCGTTCAGGGTGGACGTGGTCAGACAGGCGGGTCCCGGGTCTTGCTGTCAGAGCCATCAGGCCCCATAGAGTTGGTGGGTGTTCTGTCTGTGTTTGTAGCTGATTGAGGGGCATGGTCTGCGGGCCCAGCTGAAAGGAGAAGCCCCTGTATTCACCAGAGAATGAACTCCGGTTCGTACCTCAGACCTGCTCGGAGAATCGTGGTCGTCGGGATTTCCAGCCCCCATAATAAGAGATGGAGCTGACAGGGTATCCTGCTCGAGCAAGAAATTCCACCAACTGGTCCGGCAGCCAGCCCAGCGTCTGATATAGGGCCAGCAGCAGTAAGCAGTACCACTGGTAGCTTTCACGTTGGGAGATAAGAGAAAACTTACTGAAGAGCAAGAATAACGAGCCACAGGCCTTGGTTTCACTGTGTCCAGATGCGCCATTGCAGATGGAGTGGGATTTATGCTCCATGTGTCATGTGGTCCTGAAAAATGACCTTATGTGGAATATCCCACTTGTCAACGTTGTAGATAACAGATTTCTTGATGGTTGTAGACAGCAAGTCATCTGTTCTCGTTCCAAGTCAGTGCTTAGGTGTAAACACAACTGGAAATTCACATTTAATTGTGAAGCCTGACTTTTTTCTTTTCTGGTGGATTTTCAGGAAACCAGCTTTTCTTTTTTTTACTTAGGCACTAGAGGCCCGGTGCATGAAATTCGTGCAAGGGGTTCAGCTCTTCCAGCCGCAGCGGCTTGCCTCAACCCTTGCAGCCCTGGCTTCGTCCAGAAGGTCGTTTGGCTGTCCAGTCTAATTAGCATATTACGCTTATATTATTATAGATCGGAGGGGTGTGGCTGTGGCCTTGGCTTTTTTGTGTATGTAGGATGTTGAGTACCATTTTGTCTTCTCTCACCACCAAATGGCTTTCGGAATGTGCACTGCCTAATTGTTCTTTCATTTGCAAACACTTTGAAGTTCTTCCAGTGTAATTAAGAAAGTTTATTTCTGCTGAGTAAAAACAGTAGCAAGTCTGCTTTACTTGAAACTAAGTGCAGCCCGGCCAGTGTGGCGCAGTGGTTGAGCGTTGACCTATAGACCAGGCGACCACGGTTCAATTCCCAGTCGGGGCACATGCCCAGGTTTTGATTTCAATTCCCCAGTGTAGGGCATGTGGGAGGCAGCCAATCAATGATTCTCATCATTGACATTTCTCTCTCTCCCTCTCCCTTCCTCTCTGAAATCAATAAAAATACATTTTTTTTTTTAAAAGCAACTAAGTGCAAAGTTGGTTTCATAGAAAACGTGTATGATTATGTTATGCTAAAACAGGGGCCTTTGAGGTCATCCTGATTCGAATCCCGAGCCTGCCGTGGGTTGGCATTGAGATGACAGGGAAGACACTCATGGGCTAAGCCTGATGTCCCCTGTGTGGGACAGGCAGGCCCCAGACAGCGCAGTCCTCAGACTTCCCAGAGCGCTGTGGGGGATGCAGGAGGCATGCCTGTAGGTCTCGCACAGGCCTGGTCTGTACTCAGTACTCCCGGCTATTTTTATTTTCTTTAGATGTTTCTTTTGAAGCCTATAGACTTAAAAACCACTACGGCCCGCGAGCCACATGCAAATACAAATATTGTATTTGTTCCCGTTTTGTTTTTTTACTTCAAAATAAGATATGTGCAGTGTGCATAGGAATTTGTTCATAGTTTTTTTTTTAAACTATAGTCCGGCCCTCCAGCGTTCTGAGGGACAGTGAACTGGCCCCCTGTTTAAAAAGTTTGAGGACCCCTGCCTATAGACTTAAAAACCTCTGTAAGTAACATCTTAGGAGCCACTCTTCCACCCTCCCCAGGTGCCTGCAGGAATCCCTGCTGGTGCTGAGGGAGGATGGGGAGGGGATCACCTGCGGCCTGGGGCGATGAGGGGTCCTTCGGGGAAGCGGGGAGTATTCCGGAGAGAGAGTGGGTGCGGGAGAGAGAGTGGGTGCGGGAGAGATAGTGGGTGCGGGAGAGAGAGTGGGTGCGGGAGAGATAGTGGGTGCGGGAGAGAGAGTGGGTGC